TGACGGGGCGGGGGCTAGTCCCGACCGTTACAAACCCCGCACGTGGGCTGCCGAGACAAACCGCCGACTTCCGTAGAGAAACACGCGGGAGCCTTTACTTCAGAGATTAGCATTAACAAGGCCGAGGACCCTGATAAACTTGTGTGGCCATGCAGAACTTGTGCTTGGCAAGGCTGGTTTATCTGTAGTGCTCACCTCTCTTAGGTCTTCTGACTTGCAGCTCTTGATTCTTAAATGAATGTTGAGAGGGCTCTCCTGACCTTAAGAATGTGGTCACACACCTGCAAGGCCAAAAGGTGATATGCTCTGGGTTCTTGGAGTAAGCAGTCTCTTAAAAATAATCAAAAACTTTTAAAAAGAGTGTTCCTGCTTTGTAAGTCATAACCACCCCAACCACACAACCATGTGGTATCAAGAATGTGCAGTTACTGGAAGTGGTACTTTGTAGATCCTTGGTAGAACAGGTATATAATGTTTTCAGTGTGCATGTTTATTTAGGTTATAGGCATGTGCTTTATCTACTTGCACCTGGATTCCTCATAGTAAGTGTGTTATTAAAAAGCATGATCATGTGAAACTCAGAGGCAATCTTTTTTTTTCCAAAGTTTTTTTGTTACATTGAAAAGATAGAATTTTGGAGTGCAGTATAAAAATTATTTTCTGTATTAATCAGCCAAAAAGAGTGAACAGGAGCTGAAAGATGAGGAAATGGAATTATTTACAAAATACTACATGGAGTGGAAAGGCGGAAGAAAAAGTGGCAGTACATCTTATATGAACATACCACGGTTTTACTATAGGGTAAGTGAGATATCCAGCTATACGTAAGCCAGAGACTATTCCACATCATAAAAGAAATTATTGTGCGTATTTAAAGGGGTATTTCAGCCCCAAAACCTTAAGCAGATCAAGATCTGAAAAATGTAGATTACTAAGCATACACTGTTGGTTGCTAAATAATAGTCTACAGTTGTGGATTTCAGGAGCTTCGAGTAATTAATTGCTATACATCCAACAAAAGGCCATGAAATAGCTTGCTAGCTTTTAATAAGGAACAGGCTTGGTTGTTGAGTAAGATTTTGGTATTGTTAGTACTTGTCAGCACATGCTGCTCAGCAACTCTGTAACCGTGCAGGATATTCCTTAGGAACCTGAGGTTCTGCCAATGAAATTCGCAAATGCCTTTGTTTCAGTTGCTGAGTTCACATACCACCATTCAAATGCTGGTTGTGCTGTATAGTTTCTTGTGTAAACATTAGCAGGACTTCTGTGCTGAGCATCCTGCCATCTTTCTTGTTTGTCAGATCTCATTAATCTCATCTATAGACAATCTCATCTTTGAGGTTCAGGTCTGCTACAGAACAGAGGCTGCTCCTCTGCCTCCTCACTAATAGCACATTAGTAAATGTCTTCTACATGAGAGCCCTCCCATCCTGTGGCTCTGGGAAAGAGCTTATTGCTTGAGCTACCTGGTATGTGGTAGCTCTTGGTCAGCTTCTCATGTCAAAGATGTCCTGCTTTAAATATCTATTTAAATATTAAAATAATCTGAGACAGCATGCAAGTGATATTTTACTATCTAAAAGACGCAGATAGCTCACAACATTCTGGGAGGTGTGTTGGTGTTTTCTATGGAATGGAACAGCAGCTGAGGATATGAGTCAGGTCTGATTGATTGAAAGTACTTTCTAGCTCTGTATTTTCTGAATGCCACTGCTATACAGAAAAGTGAACTGCCACAATGTTTCTAGCTGCCAGCTGAAGATGAAGTCTTGCTTCAGAAATTACGAGAAGAATCTAGAGCAGTCTTTCTGCAAAGAAAAAGTAGAGAACTGCTGGATAATGAAGAGCTTCAGGTAAGAAAATATTTTCTGTGTGTTTTGAATGTTTTTTGATAAATTTCTCTGTCTGCAGGGATTTATCATCTTTTCTCCATCCACATAATCGTCTTGTCCATCCACAAATACAAAGCATATTACAAAATGCACAAGTTGGCTTGTTGTGAGGTCCTGGCTAAAGCCTAAGTGCTGTGTAGTCTTAAGCTGCTAACCTAAGTCTAAAATGTGGATACTGTAATGGGCACAAGATCTAAATCAATAGCATCTAATCTTCCAGTGTATTCCAGTGACTTCCCTAGTGGTCCAGAAGAAGAAATGGGTTCTGTTTCCGTATCATTGAGAGAAACTCAAAATATCATAGAGTTTGCTGCAGAACTAAGACAACAGCAAGTGGCTATAGAAATCCGAGTAATACATACATGTGTTTATAGCACCAGTTTGGAGCAGTTGAAAAATAGCTTGTCCTGCAGTAAAAACCTTGTGTTCTTATACAAACTGTCTTAAGCACACTGGCGTCTAGAGATATCTTGCTAACCAAATATATATGCCTTTCAAGAATCTCTGGTTTCTGCTGGACAAACATCAGACTTCACCTATGATTGGAGAAGAAGCAATGATCAACTATGAAAACTTCTTGAAAGTTGGTGAAAAAGCTGGGCCTAAATGCAAGTAAGACTTTCCTGGCTTGTCTGAGCTGATTCTGGCTAAATCTAAGTGGTGCCATAGCTTTTGATTATTAAAGTAGATGATAGAGCATGATGACCACAGATAAGATGTTCATAAAGTTACTGGTGAACTTCTTGCTTTGCGTCCTTGCAAAGGTATATTGTCCTATATCCTTAGGGGAACTTCAGAGAGAGATGTCAGTAAAATGGGATGTCACAGCTTTTTGAAGTAAAACTCTGATGAGCATAGGCATTTTCATGATAATAGGTAGTCAGGAAACCCATTCTCTCTGACCTATTAACTTCAGATAGATGCAGTCCTACTTCTTCTGCGTGCACCATATGATGAATAGTCCTTTACTCTCCTACTGGAAGCTGCTTTACATGAATTTTGGGCAAAAGCAGATTTTTTTGACAGTAGTTTTGGTCCTGTTTATGCATTTATAATTGTGGAAGGTTGGAAGGTGCCAAATATTTGTACTAAAGTGGAATTAAATTGAAGAAAACATCTCAGCACTCCGGAGTCACTGAAGGCTATCTCCTATTCATGATCAGCACACTGAGTTTGCTATCATTTCTTGGTAGGATCTTAATTATACTTTCCAAAAATTCATATACCACTTGTTGATTGTAATGTTGCAAATTAACCTCTATGAAGACACTGAATGCATCCTATCTCATTAAAGCTGTATTTTAAACTGTAACTTTTGAATCCTATAATTGGATATGTCAGTGCAGTGTTACAGAAGCACAGAATTAGTTGTTTGTGTTTTACAGACAGTTCTTCACAGCAAAGATCTTTGCTAAATTACTGCACAATGATCCTTATGGGAGGATATCTATCATGCAGTTTTTCAATTACGTCATGCGAAAAGGTTAGTCGATGCTTCCTGCATGTAAAGAGTTGTTGAGTTGTTGAAACAAGGCTGTTTTCAGCTTTGTGATTACTTGCTGATCTCTTCAACAGCAGTGAGATGTAGCCCTTAATTGCTAGTAATGTTTTCATGGAGGTTGGAGGGTTTGTTTATTTGTTTGCTTGTTTTTCGTTTTGTTTTCCTGATTATTGCAGGAAAACCAGACATCAACTTGATCTAGTTATCACATAAAATATTTTATAAATAAATATGTGTGTTTATATATATGTGTGTGTATATATGTACTGTGTGAGTGTGCATATGTATATATACTCTGTGTATATACATGTATATATATTTATATACACATGCACACCCATATAATTTCCTTTATTCTGGCAGTATTGCAAAGATCAAAACAGAGTAGAGTTGCTATGCCAGCGATGTGACCCTTAGTGCTGGGATGAAAATGTCCAGTATGTAGAGCTTTATTTGCCAGATGTGGGTCTTTTTCTTTCTTTTTTTTTTTTTTTCAGAATGTTATTTGTATTTCATAGCTTTGCCTGTGTGCTGCCTGATTGCTGCATGTTGCTAGTACGAAAGTGGATACTTGTTCCGTTCCAGTTCTACTATTCTAACTTGGAAGCGAGGTCAGGACTCTTGAGTGCAGTTGCAGTGCCTCATGTGGTGTAGAAGGGCTGTGCACGCTGTGCTGAAGCAATCTGTGACAAGCAGCCTGACTCCCACATCATAGACTTGGCTCAAATGCAGTGAAAACTTGTTACTACACATCTGTCTAGTTTGATGTGGGAGAACTAATCCATATGATTAAATGTACCACATAGAATGTGGCACTTACTCAGGATTTCTCATGACTTGTTGTTATGAGTTATTCAGAGGGTAAATTGTGTTTTTAAGATGTTTTGCTACTTATATTTGCTCTGTTTAAGTTTTATAAAAATCAAGAAATACAAGGATGTATTTAATATCTAGAATTGCTTTTATTTATCTATCTATTTATTTATTTATTTACAGTGTGGCTTCATCAGACGAGAATAGGTCTCAGTTTATATGATGTGGCAGGACAGGGCTACCTCAGAGAATCAGTAAGTAGTTAATCCTTGATGAATTTAATGTGTGTCTGTCTTTGGGTGATGAAATATCAGAAGGGCTCCACTTCCATTTTGACTTTGCACCATAAAAGCCAAATCATAATCTAGATTTGAGGAGAGCAAATTTGTTTGGATTAACAGCAATCTCTCTGTATTAGAGATTTGCTGGTGAGACTGCTGCTAGCCTTAGCAGTACACAGGTAAATCTCCTGAAAAGAAGTTTGTAAAAGATATATGAAGTCTTCATATGGTTAACATTTTAAACAGATTTAGTAGCATTGAGTAAAAGTCAGAAAAATCATGACCAGAGCAGGCCTTGAAGTAATAAACTATTTTCCTGTTCTAAGAGAAGTTAATATTGAACAATGAATAAGAAGACTTAATTTAAAGAGTCTATTAAGGAATATTCAGCAGTAAGATAAGCCATTTATGAGTTATGCATTGGTTTTATTAACATACAGTGCTTGAAAGTCAGAATAGACTCTAAAGAACAAATGCAGTTTAAACAATAGCTATGCTAAAAGTTTCTGTGCATGTGTTCTTAATTTTACAGGATTTGGAAAACTATATTTTGGAACTTATACCTACTTTGCCACAGCTGGATGGTTTAGAAAAGTCTTTTTACTCCTTCTATGTCTGCACAGCAGTTAGAAAATTCTTCTTCTTTCTAGATCCTCTCAGAACAGGTAGGTCCATATTTTCAAACAACTCTAAAAATGTTTACCCTGAAGCTATTTGCACCTTCAAAGTGATACCTAATCTTCATAGGCTTCAGTTCAGCAGTTTTACATTTGAAGATTAATCTGCACTGCAGACCATGAGTCTCTATGTAGGTCTGATAATTTGTGCAGCTAATGAGTGTTAGTGAAATAGCCCTCAAGCGGGGTACTACAGAGTTATCTCACTGGAGTGAGCAAATTAAGATGGTGTCTCCTCATAATGCAGAAAAAAATGTGTGTTAACAACTCCTAACTCGGAACTGTTTAGCAGAACCTCAGCAGAGCTGTGCAAAAGGCTTACTATGATGTGCTTCTCGTGTGATTATATTTGTGTATGCCATATATGCTCATGACAAAAGGTTTTCAATTATGACAGCTAGTCCTGTTATTACAGATCTAACTCTCCTGGGCAATGGTGTGCTTTTTCCTATGCAGTTTAATCAAATTAATCACAAACTACAAGCCTTTTCAAGATCTAGCTGTGCTAACTGAACTTATCAGAGCTGTGTGGGCAATAGAATCTGGCAGAGGTCATTGCAAACATGTAGAGAGGGTATGTGAGAAATTACACTGTCATTATTTTTCATGACAATTTGCACAGCAGGTATCTGCACAGCAGCAGAAGTTGATTCTGTCACTTTATCTTTGTTGGGTCTGTAGTTTCTGAAGATGTTTTAAAAAAATCACATCACCTAAGAGATATTATTAGTCTAAGGAGTTTTAAGCATTTATTTTATATTTCAAGTTGCAGTTAAATATTCATTTGTTTTCTGTCTAGTTTTTTGACATGTAAAGTTACATGATAACTCTTCTTCTACCAGTATCAGGCTTGTTTTGTTTCTGAGTCATTTAAAGGGTGTTTTTATTTTATCTTTCAAATGACAACCTTATCCTTGACATTACAAGTTGGTTAATAGAAAAGCACCTCTGCTCAGGGTACCACTTTGTTAAGAATAGCCTAAGTGAGAACAGCCAGGTGGTTGTATTGCTGGCTGAAGGATATAATGCACTTCTTTTTTTTTTTTTTTTCTTCCTATAGGGAAGATAAAGATACAGGATATTCTAGCTTGCAGCTTCCTAGATGATTTGTTGGAGGTAAGATCTTGCAACATATACTACTGTTTTTTGGTTTCCTCTTCCTGAGTTCTAACTTTTGTTTCACTTAGTTAAGGGATGAAGAACTGTCTAAAGAAAGTCAAGAAACAAACTGGTTTTCTGCTCCTTCTGCATTAAGAGTTTATGGTAGGTTCCTTTCTAGGTGATTTTTTTTTCTACCTTATATGACCTAATCACATACTTAGCAGTGCTTTTCCTGTTATTTAAATCCTGCTGATACCTTGTGTTTTCAGTATCTTTAATTATGCCTTCAGTCCATCTTCCTGACTGTCTTTTGTAGTCTTTGTTTTCCTTCCCTCTGTTTACTGTCACGCTATGTTCCTTGCATTCCTTTTTACCTTCTCTTTTGATTGCTCTGCTGGTGCTTTTGCATCACCTTTGGCTGTTTTTTTCAGTCCAGCTCTTTTTTAGCGCAAATCCCTGCTGAAGATGCTAGCTTTTCCTTTAAAGTCAACACTTAAGTCATCCATTCCTTTCTGCTTGTGCTCAGACAATATTTTTGAGCCTTTTTGCTTTTGGCACCTTGACATGTTTGAGTAAGGTTGTTAGCACCTCATTACAAGAACTCTTGTCTCTGCTGTATTCTGTGCTCATTTATGTTGTCTATGAATATTTTTATGGATCTAGAATATTTACACTTAATCTAAATCATAAAGTTAGTGCAGTTAAATGTGTGCTGAACATTTTCCTCCATTGAACAGTTCTTTGTGGTGTGGGGGTTTTGTTTTGGCCTCTTTATGCTCTCTTCAGGCCAGTACTTGAACCTTGATAAGGATCACAACGGCATGCTCAGCAAAGAGGAACTGTCCCGCTATGGAACAGGGACTCTCACCAACATATTCCTGGATCGTGTCTTCCAAGAGTGCTTAACTTACGATGGAGAAATGGTAATCACATTTATTTATTCTGTTCTCAATTTAAAAGCGTATGCTTATTGCTCTGGAAAATGTCTCATAATCAGTATCTTTAAATAGTAGCTGAAAATTAATTTTCTGATGTCAGGATGATCACAATGTGGCTAAAAGACAGAAGTTGCTTTCTTTCAAAAGCAGAGGTGCTATAAAATAGATAATTGGGATGAAGTTTCTCTTCCATTTGTATATTTAATAATTCATACTGCATATTGATGAAATGTTCAGATATATCAATGCTTTCTAATGATATTTAATTCTTTAGTCAAAGTCAAAGGTGAGTGGCACATCTTCAGATTAGGCCAACAGTTAACTAACCTGTGTATTTCACTGTGAAGACAGTGGTAATTTTACTGAAGGCTACTTAACAGCCATTTATGTATGGCTGTAAACAACAGGAAGTCTAATGTGAGATTAGAACTAAAATCTAAACTTGTACTCTTTCATTTGAAAGCTTTCCTAAGTCTATCACTGTTTCCAAAATCTGCATTCATGTGACTTGCCTCTAAAAGTGCTAACTGACAGATTCACTGCACAGTTCTTCTGTGTTGCTTGTGTTAGCAGTGTTTCATAGAATCACATAATTACTGAGTTTGGAAGGGGCCTCTGGAGATCATCTAATCCAGTTCTGCTGCTTAAAGCAGGAACAAAAAGAATAGGTTGCTCAGATGGCCTTGCCCACCTGTGTTTTAGCTATTCCCACCTTCTGGTCGACCTGTTTCAGTGTGCAGATGCCCTCACAGTAAAAACGTATTTTCTGAAGTTTAAATGGGATTTACTTTATTTCAATCTGTTGCTTCTTGTTCCCTCGCTGGGCAGCACTAAGAAGAATCTGGCTCTTCTTCTTGGCTACGCCCCTCTTGGTGTTTCTGCTCCAGAATGGCATCTTGCCTGAGATGCCTTTTCTGGAGGCTGCCCAGCTGGCGCAACCCGGGGCGCTGCGGCCTCCCGTGTCGCAAGGCACCTTCCTGGCTCGTGTTCCACTGCTTGGCCAGCACAGCACCCCCGTCCTTCTCTGCAGAATTCATAGAATCATAGAATCATAGAATGCTTAGGGTTGGAAGGGACCTCTAGAGATCATCTAGTCCAACCCCCCTGCACACGCAGGGTCACCTAGAGCACGTGGCACAGGACTGCGTCCAAGCGGGTTTGGAAGATCTCCAGAGAAGGAGACTCCACAACCTCTCTGGGCAGCCTGTTGCTCTCCAGCTGGCAGCTCCGTGGGCTGTGCTCGTGCCTGGGGTTATTCCAGGCACCCCAGGCCCTGCGCTCCCTTTGCTTGAACTTCATGAGCTTCCTCTCTGCCCGTTTCTCCGAACGGCAGCACAAAGATCTGGTGTTTTAGCTAGATAAGGTTGTTGGATATATAGGACCATAGGATTTCTGTTAATTGTCACAGGTGAGTATGTGATTGGCCAAATGAGCAACTGTGGTCTAAGGAGTAGGTACTTTAATTGGTCATATAGTTCACTCTTGGATAACAGTAAGCTTACTAATACTGTACATTTATAATTTGCTGTAATGAAAACTTTTATTAGCTTTCTTTCACTAGTTGAGTGTGCTAAGCACTTGAAGGATGTAATAAGCAAGCATTGTTTTCAAAAATATATATATATAGCCTGTTAAATTTGGATTTCTGCTTGGAATTCTACGTTGTCTCTAACATGGTAGTGGGAACAGAGGGGCATAATCCCTTCCCTGAACCTGCTAGCTATCCTCAGCAGTCCCTAGAAACAAACTTTTCTGTTGCCACCAGTGGCAGCAGCCATTTTCTGTTTCCTGTTGTCTTTTTCAGAAAAGGAACTGTTCCCCTACAATGAAATAGCTGCCAATTATAATGTTCCTGCTTGCAAAATCAATTTAGAAGGATGACTGTAATAAACATGATTGTGTCTACTTTTAGGACTATAAGACCTACCTGGACTTTGTGCTTGCATTAGAAAACAGAAAGGAGCCTGCAGCTCTACAATATATTTTCAAACTGCTTGATATAGAGAACAAAGGATACCTGAATGTTTTTTCCCTTAATTACTTCTTTAGGGTAAGTCTCTTTATACAGGTAGGCCATTTTCTGTGGTTATGGTGTTACAGCCTGTGTGCTTCTGCATGCAGATCTGCAGGGAATCACTTTAAATTACTGATACATACTGGGAGGCTAGTGACTGCTTCTTAGAAGATTTAAAATATTAAAAAAAAACACACTCAAAAAACACACTCAAAAACTTGGAAAGAATTCAAAAGGTATTTTCAACATTTTATTTGCGATTGAAATTAATTGGTTTGATTTCATTTAGGAAAAAAATATTTCCTATTGATTAAAAAAAAGAAATTGTCCTGAAATTGTCTGACAATCACCTATTAAAATCTCTTATGATGGTTCTAATTGGTTATTGCCCATGTTTTTAGTTTCCACTGTGATGCTAAGATTCTATATAAGAAATGAAAATACTGAAGTGCAGTGATGACTTGTACAGCTCTGGGATGTTACATTCAGTGTGTTGGTGCACAAAAGCTTCCTGCATTTTTCTTACTCTATACTTTTATCCATTGCTTCCATAGATGTGTTCTGTCTTTATTGATTTATATTGAATTAATACCTGAAATGTCATGGGCCGGGGAGAACTTGAATGGGGAAATGTCATACAGTTTAAAAAATTACAATTTTGCGGGGAGGAAAAGAAGCTGGTTTAGGCTGAGTTGCAAGTAATGCACTTTTTTCTGTTCAAGGTCCTCCTTCAGTGGTATTTATTTAAATGCAGGGACAAGCACTTGTGTTTTCTGTATGTAGGTCTTTGTGCTCTATCTTTAAGAACAAAGAGTCATTGTCTGTGGCCCCCACACTGTAGGCAGGAAAAATAAGTGTGTGTTTGGTTCAACTCTGCGTAAAGTGTTCGCGCCTGCTCGAAGGCACAATCTATTGTCCTCTTGATTTTTGTATTGCCACAGGTCTCCAGCATAAATTTTGCTGATAATAACTGCAGCTCTATCATTTTATAAAAATTGGATTTTTTTTTAATCTGGAAGATCTTTTCTAGAATGGAAAGGGATATTTATAACCCTGCCTTTTCCTCCCCTTCCACTTCCCTCCGCTTAGCAGCTTGGAATAATGGACTGATCTAGATCGAAAGGGACCGTTTGGAGGTTCCTGCTTCCGCAATGTGCTCCAGGCAGGGCCAGTTTTGTGGATAGGTCACGTTGCTCAGGGCAGTGTCCTGAGTAACTGCAAAGAGGGAGAATGTGAAGCCTCCCGTGGCGACTTGTCCCGCTGTTTGCGCACCCTTGTGACGAGTTCCTCGCCTCTTCCCCTCTCCCGCAGCGGTTGTGTCCCTTTCCTCCTGCCCTCCCAGTCACACCTGTGCCATTCCCTGCCTTTCTCCTGACTGAACAACCGTCCTTCTCGGGCCTCCCTTCGCAGGCCCTCAGCCTCTAAACAGCAGGAGAGCTCCCTGCTGGGCTCGCCCTCGGTGACAGTGACCGCTGCAGGCTGGGGAGCCGCGAGGCCGCCTCCGGAGGACGGCGCTCCACGCGGAGCAGAGGGCAGGCGTCCCTGCCCTCCCCGCCTGCGCCCGCACCAGCACCCTTGGGATCGCCCTCTTGCTGCCAGACGGCAAGGTCCCTTCTGGCCGAGGTGCCTCTCATCGGGTGGCCCCTAGAGTGTCTGTTTGCAGGGAAGATTCTGCTTTGGCCTTTGAACTCTGTCATTAACGTAATGCAGTGGTAGGGTAGCTGTGTTGTGTGAACATTGTGGAACAGATTGGCTTCAGGATTTCAGTTACTTGTGTCTTAATGGAAAATTGTTGGGCCAGGACATGAGAGTAACAAGGTCCTAGAGAAATTAAGAAATTGTTTGTCTTGGCTCTTTGCTTTTGCATTCCCCTCACTTCCCCCACTTTGCTTGCTTGGCAGGAGGATTGCTTGGCATTTCAATAAAGGGTTTTAATTTGCAGTTTTACACTTCACAAAAATAGAAATTTTAGTGTTTTTATAATACTTCAGTATCTTAATATGGAAGTCAGCTTAACAAAGTAGTCGTGCTTAAGTTGTCGTCTCGTGGCCATTTTGTGTAGCTATTTCTAGCAATATCCTGGGTCTTCGCTTCTGCACAGACTCCTTGACTAGAGCACAACGTGGTGCTGCTCAAACTCGTGGAAGTGGAATGTGCTGCGTGAGCCTCTCCCAGCGTTGGACAAAAATTCCTGTTGACTCCTTGAATAACGGCTTTTATTGTAGCCTAAGTGTGGGTGGCTCTGCACCTAGCAGGCCTGTGCTGGCAGAGCTGCCCTCACAAGGCTTGTATTAGTGAAGCAGATGTTTTGGTTCTTAGTTGTGTTCAGCATGCAGAGGCTTTGCGATATTGCTGCTTAAAGAGTGTCACACTGAAAGGGCAATAATAGCAAATAATACTTGTATTTCAGTCTAGGAGTGTCTGCTTCTGGCACAAGCAAGGAGCCCCCATAGACAAGTGCTCAGGGGTATGGATTGTTTCATGTTGTCTGATGAGCTAGGATGCAGGTTGCATTTTCCAAATAACTTAGTGTGGAAACAGCCACATTGCTTTGTCTGTTGATTGATTTTTTTTGTCTTCTATTTTTCCTCGTCTGTATTTAGTGTTTCCTGTCAAAACTAAACCTTCTGGTCTGAGCAGGTATCTTAAGCTTTGAATATTCAGCAAACCTTCATGTCCGTATGTCTGCAAATCTCACATGCCAAATACCTAATAACTGGCCATAATGAAAGTTTCAGTCTCATCATATTGACTAAGAATGGGAAAGTGGGTCGCTGATTTGGGGAAAATTTCCCTCCTGCCTTATTTGCAGAAGAGAAAAACTGGCTGCAAGCTGTGCGGTTCGTGCTTTGTTGCAGTTCAAGGTACAGTTTCACCTAGTGCCCGTGGAGTATTGCACTACCTGTATCTAACTCGTCCTTTGTTCTTAGGCTATTCAGGAACAAATGAAAATCCATGGACAAGAACCAGTTTCTTTTCAGGATGTTAAGGTTAGTTTTCCTGGATAGAGCTGTGAAGCGTCTGAATAAGCATTTCATAATTTATGTGCATAATATTGTAGTTTCTACATATATTTTAGACTTGCCCTTTTCATAAGTTGAAAATGGCTGTCTCTTTGGGAGTTGCTCAGTAAGAGAATTTTAGTAAAAAACTGTTCTGATAGTTTCCTTATTAATGGGCAAAGTATCTATACTGCCATGCCTTCCATTTAAACATATTTAGGCTGTCTGTACTGTAATTCAGGATTACTTGGGAGGGGAAGGCTGCTGACTCAAGTGTGTCACTAAAAATACCTTGGGACACTGCTCCTATCCTTAGCCAAGTCACTGTGCTCTGTGTCTAAAAAGATCGGGGACTTTCTTAATAGCACTTTGTAAATTGCTGTGGTTGGCTCTGTTTACCCAAAGAATATTCAGTTTACAGTATAAAATAGCCAGTCTTCATTAATGTGTGGGGCTTTTCTCTCCTCTTTTCTTCAATTTTGCCTTTGCTTTCATAGGATGAGATCTTTGACATGGTAAAGCCTAAGGATCCTTACAAGATCTCCCTTCAAGACTTAATCAATAGCAGCCAGGGAGACACTGTTACCAGCATTTTAATCGACCTGAATGGCTTCTGGACGTACGAGAACAGAGAGGTCCTTGTGGCGAGTGACACCGACAGCGCTGCCGACACGGATGATACGTGACTTTGAACGTGGTAGACTGCAGCCAGGGGGCCGTCCTCAACGTAATGCATTAACTAGGTGCTGGAAGTCAGAAACACTCGTCATCTCGACCAGTGCCTCCAGCGTTGTTTCTGCCACCCAGCTCCCTCTAGCATACAATATGTAGGCCCTGGACGTACAGGGACTCCTGAACTGACCTCTGAAGCCAAAATAGCAAATCTTGTTTAAGAGGCAACAATGACCTGTTGTGGTTTTTGTTTGTTATTTAAATAAATATTTTTGGAATCCTTTCTTAAGTAGCAGGAGATGTTCTTAGATGGATGCCCTATTCCAGACTGTGTATTTATCCCAAGAGTGAGGATGCACTTCTGGGATATACCCAGCCCAGGCCCGTATCTGCTTGGCCCATGCCAAGCCTTCCATTAATTCCATGTCGCTTCTGATCTGATGGCTCTGCTGAAGGCTTTGCCTTTACAACCCAGTGCTTAATTGGAGGTGAGCAGTTTTAAGTCTTTTCCTTCTGTGTGTGTCCAGCTGTAAATGCCTGTAATAGACAGGATATGTAAATAACTATTGAGCTAATTTGGTAATTTTTTACTTAAGAAGATCCCTGCTGGAAGTAAAACAGCAGAGCTTTAGGTCTAGTTAAAATTGATCTTCAACACCTGCTTGAAGGCTTTTACCAACTTAACCTCCCATATAAGTATTTTATGTAATTTAACTTAATTACACAGCTGAACAACAGCAGTAGTTGAAGCAGTAAAACACCTTTTTCTACTCTTCTCAAACCTGTAAGTGTTTCAGCCCTCAGATAAAGCTGCAATAGTTGCAGGCCAGAAATGGTTACCATCCTGCGCTATTTGTCAGTGCCTACCTTGCCTTGGTTAGTGCTGAACATGTCAGGTGAGTTACCAAGCGCTGCGTGGAACCATGGGGAAGTGTTTGACCTTGTATTTCAGTGCTTGGATGTGGGACTTGAAACGAAACAGCGAAGAGGAGGCACTTCTGAATGCAGACATGAAGCTAAAGACCACAGCAACTTAAAGGAAAAGCCACAGCCCATCTCCAGTTCAAAAATTATATTAAATATAAAATAACCAGTTAATAATGCATTTACAGAAAAATTTAAAGTAACCACTTTCATACAGTTTGCAAAAACTAAAAGGAGAATTAAGTTAAGGCACAGTGAGTAATAGAGCGTTTTGTACAAAGAAGTTAAAGCCCAGGGCAGTGAGAGCATTCCTTAACGCAACAGTGAGGGAAGGAAAAAAAACCACAATGGCCAGAAAAGCAAGACGTGTCCTTCGGCTGCAGGGGCTTCGCTCCTGCACTATCAGGGGCCTGTCACGTTTCACAGAGTCCCACAGCTCCCACCACGCTGGTTCCCTTTGCACGCGCCGGGAGCCGAACCAAGCGCGGCCTCGCACGGATTCAGCGGTGAGGAGTGACCCTTGCACAGCACCCGCTGCGTCACGGAAGGAAGGGAGCACCCGAAGAGCCCGCGGGGAACAGCCGAGCGGGAGCCGCTGCTGAGGAGGGCCTGGGCCCCGCGCGGGGAGGCGGCCGCGGGGCCCCGACTTGGGCACGGGGCTCTCGAAGGGGCTGGCAGAGCCACAGCTGCCCTGGCCTGTGACAGTGCAACAGGCTGGTGGGGGCCCAGGGCCAGGGACATGCAACGATACCCAGGAGGAGATGTCACTGAAGCTTGGATTTTGCTTGGATTTTTATGCTTATTCTTAAGTCTCAGGATAAAAGTACTGATTCACATAGTAATTAGTTTTTTGCTTATTCATCTGCAAGCATTCTGCACAGAAAGGGAATGGGACAAGTTATTTACTTCCCTGCCTGGAACACTGAAAACTGATTATCTTAAAACTAAACCATTTCTCTTTTACAGGCTACAGCTAGGATAAAAGTTACTGCACTAAAATCCTTTTAATCAGTATTGGGGGCCATATAAGAGATCTGGAACTACCTGTATTCTGCTTCTCCAAAAAGAAAATTTATTATCTTTCCAATATTAAGGAAAGGCCTAGCATTAAAAAAAAAAAAAAACACGAAGGAAGAGTCTTTAGTTTTGTGATTTACAGTTATTAAAATGTAGTCTGCACTACAGAGGAAAAGCAGCTGCAATAACACATGCCCTGCCTGCAACGTTGCTCAACAAGTGCTTAACATTAGACAAGTGCTAAGCAAGAGCACTGACTCGGGTCATTTTAGGCAAACCCCACCTTTCCAAAGCTACAGGCTGCTCTCAGACACGGCGCCCAGTAAACTCGGGGTAATTTAGCAGACTTCCGTTTACTTTCCACAACCATTCAGAGCATTTAAAGAAATATTCAAGCAGGTGGGTCTCTAAGCCTTACAAAGGGAGTGAGGATGTCTGAAAACGCTGCCAGGTGGGGAGTTTGCTAGAGCCCTGAAGGGACAGCTGAGCACTGTTAATCTCTAAGAGCACTGGTATTAGTAAATTCTTAGGGGTGTTTAAAATAAAAAAGTAAAGGCTTTCAGTGGGCCCTCACACCTAGTTAACTTTAAAAGCTTATGACAAACAACAACAGAAAAAAATACATGCATAGAGTAGTGACAATAAATAGGGGACTCTGGGATGTTACAATGATGTTGTTGAGTTACAGGGAAAAGATTCCTATTAATCTATTCACAGAGAGCCAAGCTGCCAACAGCGTGCAAAAGCAGGTGGTTAGGAGTAGAAAACAGCACTGCCTGCAATGCACAAGTGTCAGCCACACGCAGCAGTTCAAAGACGAGACGTCTTCACTCGCTTTATGCCGCAATTGGCTGCCCCATTCAATTTAGACCTAATCCGAGTAGTGCAATGATTTTGTTTTCAACAGAAGTGCCAATTTGGCAGAATGGCTCAGCCTTTATTAGGCAGGTGGACTGAACACACAGCACCTGGCTCTCTCCTGATCAATAAGAATGCCAAAAATTGTATTTTACTGAACAAGTATAAATCTATTTTTCCTGCTTCTTACAGCCACATTGTGACACCTGACACTTCCTATTTCTAGTATGATGTGGAGCTTTATGCTTAAGGAGGGACAGTAACCCCATCCTGCTTATCTGCCACCACAGGCTGGCAGTCTCCCTCAGCCTCAAAGTTTAAATTCACAAATGAACTACATGATGTTGCCTCAGGCTGGTCTGTCTGGACAGGAGCTTCAGCCTGAGCCTTGTTCTGCTGCTCCCGATGCTGTCTTTCTGCTTCCTCTGACATTTTGTTTTCCTGCTCCTCCTCTTCCTCCTTCCAAAAAGGAAAAAAAAATGAGAGAGAAAGAGATTTCACAAACTATTATTCATTTGATTCATTTTAAATCAATGTTCCTTATGCTCACTTTAAGCCTTCCCATAAGAATGCATCATGAGTATCTGTTATAAAATAAGCACATTTATTCTGCTGGAGAAGTCTCTCGTTTATTACAAGATGAAGTATCCCAGGATGAAAACATTCACTCAGGATTGGGCTGTGTTATGTATAGATAAAATGACTGATATCTAAATAAGTGGTTTTTAGTCAAAAGCACGAGAGTGGTAAGTAGAGAGATAACCAAAACAACCGGTAGCAATACTCAATTTACCCTTGATACTTTGTCATACATGAAACAGAACAAGTGTTGATTTCAAAAGCTCCTGACAGCAGCCTCCCCTGTAGTTTACATACAAAGTCTCCAGTAAAGGAGACCTTGGGGAATGTGAGAAAGGTGCTCGGGGCACCTTTCTCAGAGCACCTTCCTCACACTCTGGAATCCGGGAGGAATTGTGCAAGAGCAGCAAATGGAGAAGCGGTCAGGACCAGGCAGCTCCAAATCGGGTGCTGTGCTAAGCAATGTGATGTGCAAGCACAAAACGGGCACCAAATGAAGCCTAACAGCAAACTGAAGTAAAGCTGCTTAAAACTTAACCTTTCTTTAGCCAGTAATGCAGAAATACAATTCTTTTTTTAAATGACAGGGAAAGTAAGTAGAAGAAAAATAGAAGCATAAGAATTTCTCACACACATACCTCTTTTTTCATTCTGTAATACTCATCAATAGCATACTGGTATTTTGGTGTACTTATTCCTAAAACAGATGCGATCTTTTCCCCAAGGAAATCACAAACTAAAAAGAAAGAGAGGGTTATATGTGTTTAGTAACTAGAAGAAGGTTATTAAGCAAGTTCTATTTTAAAAGGTGTCACTTGTTCTTGAACAGTTTTCCATATTCACTGCTTCACTCAGAAGACAGAAATCCACCATGGAAATCTATTTTTATGGAGTTATTAGCTCCATATACTAGTAACTGTTATGATATAAAACACACAAAAGAAAAGCAAATTGGCAGTGAAAACCGAGATGGTGTCAGTGTTCACATTCAGATAATTTTAGCTCTGCATCTAGCTTCATTTTGCTTTGGGCTCAGTTAAAGTCTTGAACTGAACTTTAACTGAAAATTGAGGTGAGACAAAAACACCAGACTACAAAGTGCACTGGCACTTCAGCCTAATGGAGCCGCGGGGATGGGACAGACAGGCTCCTGCCAGGCAGCTTGGCCGTGGTGATGGCTGTGGCAGCGTCACCAGGTAAAAGCAAACAAGAAGCCCCGTGATTGAACTGCTTCAAACTGCCCGTGTGTCCCAGGACACAAGCGAGCGAGTGCCCAGCAGTGTCCCACGAGAGCCCATCGGACGTTGCCAACTGAAGAGTGTCACAGGGACTCATTTTACACACATCTTCACGTACCAAGTTATTGATGAAGACCAGTTCAAATAAGTATAAGAGGCAAAACAAAGTTGTAGAAGAGAGAAATATGTAATAATCTCCTCATTCCTAAAAGACTACTGAAAAGTGAAAAGCAATATCCACCTTTGTGTACACAGGATGGATATGGCAAGGGCTGAATGATGATTGAAAAGAAAAAAAATATCTAAGGCGAAAGCCTACATCTCCATCCAATAAAATGCCAACTCATTCATACTTTTAAAAGTTGGTCAGTAAATCACAGAGATGATACAAAGTCTGTCAAGATGACAAGCAATATTCATTTGCACATTTACTTGAGAAATAAAGCAATACCTGATAAGGTTGATGTAGCAACTCTTAGCATGTGAAACCATAAGTAAGGTCCCCATGTAAGCGTCGTCTGAAACAACAAGAATAGTAGTAATAGGTTTAGTTTTATGTTCACAGCAAATAACAACAACAGCAGCAATGCAGATACTCAAACACAGATCCAAGGAAAAAATGATGGGCAACACTGCTTGTTTGCCAGCTACCACAGCACTGCAGTCTTTATTTTTGCTTTAAAGTAAGTCTAGGCAAGACCTACATGCTGTAAGTGTGGCTTATCACTGTAACTGGCAGGCTAACCACCACGGCCTGCACAAGCATTTTGTGATTATTGAAGGAAAAAACAAAAAATAATGACTTCATTCATTCAAAAAAAAATCTTCATAATGATCCAGAGGAAGAATCTGTTTCCAAGGACCTACCAACCATATGAATTATCAGTTGGGACTGTACCCAAAGAATAACAAAACTCTGACGTATCCACCTGGTAGCTCGTCCTGGAAAGCCGGTCGGGCACCCAGAACTGAGCAGGAGCTTCCCCTCCTTGTGGGCCCCACCTGGAGCCTGTAACAGACTGGTGTGAGGGCCACAGAAACTGCCATGGCACAGGAAGCACCGCGGAGCAAGGAAATCCAGACAATTACGCACTGGGACACAAAGAACATTCAGAAATTTAGGGCAGCCTCTTCCCTGAGGAAAGAGCTCACACCTCTTCCTCTAAGTATAAGAAGGAGGAAAAAGTGGATAAAAAAAAAAACTAGCACTCTAGCAAGAAGAGCTCTATCTACATGTTTGCTTTTGTGAAAAGGTAAGTCAAATTTCCTGGTAGCCTAGAACAGGTTTGTAGTCAATAGTCTGTTGTATTCAGGTAGCTCTTCCTTGTCCACGGGCCCCCACAAAGGTCTCCATAGACAGACTCCTCTTGTGGAAACTACTGATTGAAACCCCACAGTTCCACTCAATTACACGTATAATTTGTTCCTACCGACTGTTTAGTAGGTATTAAGATCAGAGAAATGGGTGCCTATTCCTATGGGACACAAAATGCTTGCAGTGCAGCTGGTGAGGAGCTGGGGTAGCCTGGCTATGTTGTGACTGGCCACCAACAGCTCCCACATGCACAGAAGCTTCGGGAGGCTCCAGGACTCCCCTGGCTGAGCTCCTGCAATCCAGAGGAGCAGGAATCACCTGCCAGCCTCGAAACCCATCGTGGACAAGCAGAGAAACAAAGCAGATGTTGATTTTTTGGCAGTGGTTTCGGAAAATACCCTGCCAAGGTAGGAGTGTAGGCAAGGCCAGCGCTGTCCGCCTTGCACAAAAGCCCCGCTATCTCCTTACTTGTGCGCTTCAGCCAAGGGAAGTCCCAAGAAGTACTGGAAAATCCTGTTGTCATAGGAGCAGACAAGGCACTGACTGGCCTCCATACAATCCCTGGTGACATGGTGACATGGTTAAGGCCAAGCAAAGTCCTGCTGTACTGCCATAAGCAAGAGGCTGGATGTATCTCCTTAGCATTTAAGAATAAAAAAGTAAACTGAACTTCCAGATTACAGAAGTAAATCAGACATGGAATCCTCTAACATACTACTGCAGTAACACAAATACAGCTAAAATTTGAGTCTCTGCAGGAAATGGGGCACAGAGATTCTTCCCATTTCCACTAGTCTACCACCACACAACTAAGGAGGTTTGGTATGTTAGAAACAATCCACCTCTGAGCCAAACTTCATAGAAACCTCTGCTCTGTGACGAGTCCGCAGCACAACCAGACTCTTCCTCACCCGTGTCAAGTAACGCACAAAACTCCTGGCAGTGTCTGGGAAAGCGCCAAGGAGCCAGGAGAGAAGCGAGCCCGGCAGCCGCAGCAGGATGCGGGAGGTGTCGAGGAGCAGCCGCCGGGGACGGCTGCGGAGGGCCCAGCCAGGACAAGCCCCGTGTCGCGCCCCGTGCCTCCTCAGGGCAATCGGGAGCCTCTTCCACGGGCACCTGAACTCCTAAATAACAACAGCGAGCACGAGCTACTGCAGGAAACCAGAACCTCCTGCAGTGGCAAGAACAGAACTTTGTAAGGCAGCTCTGTACAAACCAATCTGACTATGAAAAGTACCTCTAATGCACTGAGTATTTCTGACGTACCAAAGTTAGGTCTTATTAATGCTCAATGAAAAGCAATACACAGATATTGTATTTCAACCTCCTTTGCCTCTGAAGTCTTAATGTTCAGTCATCCTAATCAAAGCAAGGACACTGCAGAGCCTCCCTTTAATGGAAATAAGGTGCAGCCGCACGAAATAAAGGGCACCCATTTACTGCAAGGAGAGCAAGAGCTAGGAGAAAGCAGGCTACTGCCTCAAATATACATCAGCTAAAAATAAGATTTCATGGTTATTATATTTGGTTTTGAAATTTCAAAATATGCTTTAATGCACAATATTAATCTGCAACTCAAGATGATCTCTCCAAATCTATTTACCTATAAAAGCTGTTCCAGTGTTTTTAAGTAGGAATGAACATAATGAGTTTCACCATTTATAAAAGCAAATAGGGCTAAGATTCAACAACAGAATATGATGAAGTTTCCTAACACAGGGCTCCTGAAGGAAGCACAGCACCCTCTTGAGCTTCTGAGTGCACCATATTCCTCCACATAAACAATCCACATCCATACTTACTTTCAACAAGTTTCTGCCCCTAGCAACTTTCAAACTTTCCAATAAATCCACATTTGGTGGTGGTTTTGACAGAAAATGGCAAAATGAGACTATGAATCATCTATTCATTTAGGAAAAACAAGTCATGTATTTGAGAGCTAACATGCTAACATGTACCACCAAACGGACACCTCTCTGTTGTTTACCACGCCAAGACACACACTGAACGAGCTAAATTCATGCCCAGTTGGTCATCAGATACTGCTGTACCAGATCCTTCAATGAACACACCATGCAAAACTGCAGCAGCTAAGAAAATGGTCAAAACAAGCTCAGAAACACACCCTTCCATCTCAGAAGAGCTTCTATCACATTATAAATATCTATCATTTGGTCACTGACTATTTCTCTCCCTCATCCCTGTCTACATCATCCCTACAGTCTTGAAAGAAAACTAGTTTAAGAATCCTCACCTAGCGTAAAACCGGTGCTATGAGACATTAAGCTGCTTTTAGCCACAGGATATCACGATAATCTTCCTGTGAGAATGTGCTTCAATCTTTTCAAGCACTGAAGGTCGACAAAATTGAATGTCTCCTGGAGCTCTGTGGCAGAAATGTTCTCAAAATGAATTCTGAGGTAATAATCAACAGTTACATTGCTTACAATTGCTCTTCAAAGACATCCACTCCACCTTCTGCTTACTCACGTAATAAGTGTATTCAGGAAAGATTTCGTAACAAACGTCACTCCAAGGATAAACAGATTATTTTCTAATACAGGTCTTGGTGGACAGAAGCAAAGGGAGATTTACACATACAGGGTAAGCAACTAACAAATTTTTGGACAGAATAAAAGACGGTTAAAATTAAGGCTTTTACAAGTCACAAAGAGACAAGGGAGATCACTCATGTAATGTTTGATACTACTAGCTAAAAAGATTCAGAGAAAAAATATTCTGAATTCATTTAATTCTTAAAACAAATGCAATGGGACGGACACTCAAGTTCAAGAATGTTGATTAACCTGTTGAAGTCAAAGAGCTGAATCATTTTTCCAAAGCAAGATGTAATACTGAGTAGCTCACATGAAATTCCTTGTTGTGAATGGCTGCAGCAGGCACTAAGTGCTTTAGTTAAAACACTATTGGACTAAAGCAGTTAGTTAGACACTGCCATATGCTTAATGCTGAAACATAAGGAAGCCAAGGTCGCTAGGGAAAAAGTTTATAATATGGAAAATTGTTTCCCTCCAGCTCTTTCAGAACATGCGAGGATGCCAATACTAGCTGAGCTCTGAAATTTCATAATGTAAAGCTGCTATTGAAAATATTAAGTCTGCTTTTTCTAAAAATAAATTGGACCAGAAACAGCTGTTATTTACAACATTCATTTTTTTTTTTATACCAACTGAGATAACAAGTTTGAGACATGCTGGTCTTAGCAAGCTGGCTATTTAATTGCTTTTATAGAAATCCTACAATAAGTACATTTTAAGGCAGCTATTGGCTAAAACATCAAAGCTCAGCTTGGTCTAATATTTCTTCAATTCACTGACTCAGTTGGGAGACACGAAGCGTTAAGCACATAAGGTAAACTTCAGCCCCTGGTCTAATCAGGTTTATTGTGTCAGGTTAAAAAGCAGTGTGCAGTAAGGCACATCGTGCTCCACAATTAACGATTCTGGTTTTGAGGGTCCTTTTATTAAAAAATGTAATAGAAATTAAGGATTTCACAAACAATAGAAGGGGAAAAAAAAGATCTTAACTGTGCTACACACCATACTTTCAGGTATTCAGGAAAAAAAATCCGTGCGAGGAAAGCAAGAGAACCAGCACAGAGCATTTCTGCCTATGACGAATGCTTGAGGTGTTCCTTAATCACAGCATCCGTTTGCACAGCAGCGTGGACTTCCCTGGCCTCAGTGCTGACATCGAGTGTCCTGACCTTCCACAACCTTAACACAGTGAAATAGCTCTGCTGAGAGAGAGGCACACGCAAAATCTATGTGGATTTGCTCCCCAGCTGGCTAGAAATAGCTTTCCTTATACATGCTGAGATATGAGACATGATCTGCTTCACGTGCAGCTGATCTGACTCTTCAGAGATCTGAATATTACCATAGTATTCAGTAACTTTTTCATTTCTTGTACTTTGAGAAGACCACTAGGAAAATGAATAAATAAGTTAATTGTAACAAAACCAGCACAGTAACTTAACACCTATTTATTGTTCAAAGGTTATTTATTAGGTTATTTATTGTTCAAAGGTTACATTTGATGATGCTTCAGGTAACTATAAACTTTATATTTACTTTTATACTGATGCCTTTCTGCTTCATTTCAGGCTGTTACTTTTCCTTGTATGCATGAACTGCCTAGTAAGTGGTACTTGTGTAAGAAACCCACCCAAGATTAAATGAAAAGCTTCATTTGTGAGTTCCTAGGAAGCCCCGTCCTGGATTCCCAGTTTCATTGCAGCTCCTTCCTCAACCTACCACTTCACTTCCTTCCACTTCAAGCTAAATTCACCTATAGAGAAAAAAAGGCATTGATTCCCAATCCTTGCCAAAGCAAGCCCGGCAAGCTTGCAGCCCTTCTGAAGAAGGGAATGAGCAGGAAGTCCAACTTTACCACAAAATCCCTCCAACAAGGTCCTGCTCTTGTGGGATGGAAACAGACACAGATAAATACAGGGCCCAACAGAGGAGTAATTAAGAGGCCTGAACGCTGCATTTCTTCCTCACGCGTTCCCAGAGTGCGGTGCCCAGGTCATTTCAACAGCAGGTGCTTTTGTAGAGAACACAAGGCACATTTCTGTGCATGCCGAGGTGCTTCTCTCAAGTGTGGCAGAAGAAAGATGTAGCGGAGATAAGGGTTTGTGGTGCCAAAAGGGTGCCAAAGCAGAGGAAGAGCTGGGTGGGTAACTCTTTCAGCTCTGGCTGCCAGAGAGCTGAAAACCACTTCTGCCACGTCTCACTTTGCACATCTCCGCACCACAAAATGCACCAGTTGACATCCCGACGGAATTAAACTGACAATTATACTTCATTTTTATCTGTGAATCACAGAAAAATCAAAGGGAAATGTATTTTAATAGCTCAAACACACACTGCTAGGGACAGTTCTGAACTCCACTCTAATATGGATCAGCAAACAGAAGCTTCATTCACAGGCCAAGCAAAGTCTCAATCATTTAAAATGCAGGCGACAAACTTTGCGTGCACAGACCAACCAGATCCTTTAAAACCTGTTTCTGAAGCACATCAGTATTTCTTTACATCTGCAGGTCATCTGTTTCTTCTGTTACTAAATGCCACTATGCTAATGTTAAACAACAAGTTCAAATCTCCCCGTCACCAAACCTAAGAAAACAAATGGCTTTTTTTTTTTTTTTTCTTTAAACAGTAGTATGAATCAGGGAGACACCAAGCAAATACAATTAGAGTGAGAAAAGCTGGAGAGAAAGGACTTGAAGTGTAAAGGAATAAAACCCATTCCTGCACTATTGTCTAAGCAGTCCCACTGACACTAGCAGGACAAGTTAGTGCCAGTGAAGGACTCCAAGACAAAACTATTCCGAAATTCTTCTTATAGATTTCTCTGTTTCCAGAGGCAATCAAATTACTTGAATCCTTAACGCACTAGATCAGGTCTATGATGTGAAAATTGAAGTATAAGATGCTGCTAGCTATCCAGTAAGCCAGGAGGAACAATTTAACAAATAAAAATACCTACAGGATCTACAGGAGGCAAGAGGTCTTTTTTCTCTTGTTCATCTTCCTCTTCATCTGTGCTGTATTCTTCCATTGTCTCTCCACTTGCAAAGTGAATAACCCTCCTCGGAATTTTTTTCTTCTTTCCTATGACACCCAACTCCACGTTCTCGAAGCCTCTTTCTCCATTTGCAAGTTGCTGTAATGAAAAAAAGAAAGAAAAACTACAAGCTTCTATATGATAAGTGGCAAAAATGGAAAAAAATCTCCCTTGAAAAACTTCACAGGGTATTTAAAATACTTTAGATTCTTTAGGATATAAAATGGATATTAGCAAATAGGTGAAAGGTACTGCTGAAAGATTTTTGTTTGTGGATACCTAAAAAACAGATCTCCTCACCGAAAACAAACAGAAAAAGAATTGACATCACTTCACTATGGATGAAAGGTATTAACATCATTCTGTTTAGAAAACACTCCGTTTCTTAGCAAGAATTTTCTTTACAAAAGTTGATGAAAAGGTAAGTGTTAATATTTAAAAGTATTGCTGGTTTCTGAATTAGTATCTAATGAAATTAATAAAGCAGTTAATAGCTTACGGTTGCCTCAGCAAGTTTGAGCAGACACCTCCCGTTACAAAACCCAACCGAATGAAGAATAACTCCACAGCCTGGCTCAGACTTCTCAAAAATGCCCCCAGGAATCTGCCTCCGTGGGCTAGCACCAAACAGTGTGCTCTATGGCCCCTTGTACTTAACAAAGAGCAACACCTACTTTGGTGGCCAAGAACACAAGAGTAAATGAGAAGTGAAACATCTGTTTGGGGATTTTTCTTTTTCCTTCCAGCTGCTGAATATTCAATGTCAAGTCACAAATGTCTGGGAAAAAAAATACACAGTCAAGCTCAAAGTCTGATCAACAATTCTTAATTCTTAAGGCTAACAACACCTGTTGCTGAAGGGTTTTATAAGGTATTTGTATCACATCTATCAAAACGAGCTCTTTGTCTTGGTTGAGCTTTTAGACATTACTGCAACAAATACATAAAACTGCTTCAAAAACACTTTTTTCACACAGAAAACCACGTGGGAATCAGGAAACGTTAACCACATGAATTTAATGTCCCACAAAGATTTTTTTAAATGGCTGGTAATACATAATTTAAAAGTGCATCATAATATACAAATGCAAAAAGATCCCTGCATGCATAAGCACAGATTTAAGGCTGCAAATACTGATCATGGTCCAATTTTGGAATTCGTGCCTATGCAACCAAAACAATCTTCACAAAACATAAACCAACGTTATTAATAAAAGCATGTGTTTTTTTCCACGGAGTTACGAGCCCTTCCTCGTTACGAGCACGGTACCAGCGCTCCTGCCCCTTACACCACGCTACACAGAGCTGCCCCGGGGCAGCAGGAAGCCGTGCAGAGCAGAACCGGGTACCACTTTCCGACACGTCGGGTTCCTCCGCGCGCACAGGGCAGAGGAAGGGTGGCCGGGCGCCGCGCGCTGCCGCCCAGGCGCCCCAGCGTGCAGGGGGGTTGAGCTTTTAGACATTACTGCAACAAATACATAAAAACTGCTTCAAAAACACTTTTTTCACACAGACAACCACGTGGGAATCAGGAAACGTTTCCACGCGGAAACAAGTAACTGGCTGACCACGCTGGGCCCGCAATATTATTTTCTCCACCAAGCCGCAGTCTTGCGAGCACGGCAGTAGTGGAATATCGCAATTACAAAAATATGAATTCTGAAGTAAATTGGACAACTTATGCACAGGGAAAAAACACTGACTGTCAGTTCTGTATTTTTTGGAGCCAAGGGCACCGCAGAATCCATGTTTTACAAATGTTCCACCTTCCTTTCTTGGTCCAACACAGCGAGTCCGTTTTCCCATGTTTAGCCATAGCACTGAACAGCACCACTTCTTGTGATCCAGCATCACTAACATTACTGCAGTAAGCAGCACAAGCCTACCTTAAAGCTCCTCTAAAGGCACGGCCTCTTTGGGTTTTGCCTCATTTAAATCAAATGAGTGTAACCCAGGAAAAAAAAAACTTAGAAAAAATATATTTAATATTGAAAGTTTAAAAGTAGTCTTTAAATCCCTGATTGTGGAAACTGCACACTTTTCAATCCTCCCCTCACTGCACTTATATTACTTACATTAATAAAAACTCAGCATGCTTAATACTGATAGCAAGTTTCAGACAAATGCACCAGTTCAAGAAGATAAGCAGATAGAAGTTATAAATCTCTTGATTTAATCCACTGCTTCCTTTGGTTTTACAAACATTCCACCTTCCTTTCTTGGTCCAGTACGGTGAGTCCGTTTTCTGGACTGACTCGGGGTCTTTATTTATTAAATAAAAAAACTCAGGTCAGTTGCAGTTTAGTTATTGCATAGGCAACAAAATTAGATGCTGTTTTTAGTCATGGTATTTGTGGTTTATTTTTTACATGCACAACATCAACACCAGCCAAGCAGAGCCAAGTTAATGTAACTTGTCTTGCCAACAACATGATCCACCCCAAATGTGGCACCTGTAGGCATATGACAAACATGGTCCTACCCCAACATTTCATACAGGCTCCCTTTATAGCTAAAATATTACAGTATCGGGTGCTTGAGGCTTTACAGATTTTAACTTTTTTTCCGTTTCAAAAAACCTCCTGCAAACCTCATTCTTCTGGCCTACATCTTGGGCCCAGCCGCCACCTTGTTTTTTTCCACACACTGAAGACCTCCTTCATAGCCTCATATGGTTAAAGCGTTAGCTTCAGTTTCTATTCTGTCACTTACCAAACCCGAGACACCCCCTTTCGCTTTCTGCCTCTCCCCCTGGCACTCCTAAGGCCCTTGCTGTGAACATTACACAGCTATTCCCTTCTTGTTCCGTTTTTCAAACGCCCCTTTGGAGTTTGCCTTCGCTTTATGACATCCATGCAAACCTTGCTCGCGGGTTCAAACTGCCGTTCATCAATCACCGCTTTTTTACCCACTCTCTCGTCTCACGCTTCGGTGAGAAAAGAGAAAGACGAGAGAAGCCCCAAGGGGGCCAGGGAGGGGGTGACAAGCGCGACCCCAGGGCCGTGGGGGGGCCGCGCGCGGGGCCACG